CTACAGAACCTTCTTCTCTGTTCCCAGCTTTTGCATTCCAGTCGCCCATTATTATCAACGCATCTTAATTGCATGTTTGATCGACTTCTGACTGCAAAAGTTGGTAGAAATCTTCTATTTCCTCCTCTTTGGCTCTAGTTGTTGGTGCATATATTTGAATGATAGTGGTAGTCACTGGACTTGTATGTATGGAAATATATGTATGGTAGTCACTTGTATGTGTATGGATATTATCCTATCGCTCACCACATTATATTTCAGGATGGATCTAGAAATGAATTTTTTATGAAACCAACCCCATTCTTTGTCACCTTTTCATCCTATGGATATGGATCTAAAACAACTCGGCAGGAGAGTTTTGGTTACTACAACTTTGAAGTTACAGATTTTTCCAACTCTTGAACATTTGCTTTTGTTTTTTTCAAGCAACATCTTCCAACATCTCATTTGTCTGTGCCTTTTCCTGGGAAGTACAGTGGCCTTGTCTTTTGAAGATCACTCAGTGACAGTGACTGATTAATACCCAATTAATCTCATTCACCACCTGAAGCTTTTGGTCTCCTGGGAAATGCACAACCAGTGTCATTCATAGCAAGCATCATATTTACTCAAATCATGCAAGAATGTTTTACAACAAAAACAAAGTAAACAAATGCTTAACTCCTGAAAGTAACTCAGAAATCTTGAAACATATACAACCAGACCATGGCCAGGAAAAAAACATGAAATGCACATTTCTTTTTCACAGAATGGAATCTCGTTTCCAAATTTACACAAAAACTGTTAAGGAAAGGAAAAACAATCTGCTAGGTTTATCATCTAATGTATGCTCTTAAGATCTGCATGTCTTAATACTTAAGTGAATATATCATAGGATACACACACAAACAAAAATATCTACTACTATTGAGTCAATCCTCCTAGCAAATCCTATAGCCCAGTATACATGAAAAGCGTGATCATTCTTCCTAGCTCTTTCTGTTGTTGTCTTTTGGTTGGCTGTTTAATCAGTTTGGGCTTATTTTTGTTTTGCCTTAATTTTCTAAAAGTACTGTGCCATTTCACACTCTATATGTACCCGTAGAACCAGAGTAAATTAGAAAAATTGACTCCTTGTACTTTTTGTTTGTGGTCAGAAAGCAAATCAGAATTTCTTCTGGGAAACTTCTCTGCTTTTGAATCACATAAAAGGAAGGATCTCTCTGCTAGCTGTCAGGTTGCTGTGGTTGTTAAGTGCTGTCAAGTATGACCTTTAGTGACCCTACAAATAACAGACTGGAACCCTGTCCTGTCCTGTGCCGTTCTACCCTGGTCTATCCTCCTCATCACTGACATGATTGCAGCAGTCACTATGTCAATCCATCTGATTGAGAGTCTGCCTCTCTTTTGCCAATGCTCCATCTTTACAAGCATGATGTCCCTCTCCAAGGAATATGCTCTGCTAGGGTATGTTCTCTGGTAGAACCTGCCCTAGATTCTTACATTGTCCTTGTTATGTGCCTTCAAGTCACCTGCAACTCACCATGTACAACAGCCCGAAACTCTGCTCTATCCTGTGCCAATCTTATTGTCTCCAGCACACCTATCCCTATTACTACAACAACTGAATTAATCCATCTCATCAAGGTTCTTCCCCTACTGCACTGTCCCTCCACCCTCCCAAGCAGGACGTCCCTCTCCAAGGACTGATCCCGCCTTGCAACATCTTCAAAGTATGTCAGACGAAGCTTCAGAATCCTTGCCTCCATTGTGCAGCCTGGCTTCACCCTCTCCAGGATGAACTTGTTTGTTCTCCTAGCAGTCCATGGTATATTCAATACTCTTCTCCAGCACCACAGCTCAAAGGCATCAACTTGCCTTCTACTATCCCTAGTCATTGTTCAGCTCTCTGATGTATAGAAAGTAATTGCAAAGACCATCGCCTGTATCAGGCTCCCCTTAGTATCCAGACTGACATCATTGCTCTTTAGTGCTTTGGAAAGGTCTCTAACAGCCAACTTTCCCAGTGCAACTCGTCTTCTAATTTCATTATAATTCCTCTATCATTCTTATAGATTCTAATAATTATAACTTGAAGGAACATCTATACTTGAACTGGAAATTCATGGGTTTAAACAGGAGAAATGTTTAGCTCTCTAAACAGAGGTAGCTGTTTAAACATGATCATCAATCCAAAATCAAACTCACTGTGAGCAAGTCAGTTCTGATTTTTCCTGATCCTAAAGTAGAATAGAACTTCCTCACAGGATTTTCATGGCTGTAAATCTTTATGGAAACAGACTGTTTCTCTTTCTCCTAGCGTTAACCATCAATAAATGCATTGACATCAAGTTGGTTCCAGCTCATCGCAAGTCTCCATCATGCTTCCAAGGGTGTAAATCTAAACAAAAAGAGGCTTCCCATCTTTCACCCATGAAGCAGCTGGTTTTTATAGTTAGCAGTTCAACACCCAACAGACTAGGCCACCAGAGTGTAGTCTTACAGATCACACAACCAGAATTCGCTTCCATGTTGTTGTTATTGTTGTGTGCTGTGCAGTTGGAATAGACCTCAGGCAGGTTTTCAGAAGCAGTGAACCACATGGGAAGAGATGGCTCATCCTTCTTCTGAGGAGCAGCTGGTAGATTTGAACCACATACCTTTGAGATCTCAGCATAACTTCTTGTCACTAGGCCACCAGAACATAGTACTACAAGCTATACCACCAGATGTCTCTCCCTTAGCAGTAATTAATTCTTTTTTAAGGAAGATTTCTTGACACCATGTAATCATCCTCTTCCTTGATTCATTTGTGTATTTATTTACATCAGTAAGAAATCATGATCTCATATTTCATTCATTTTGTTATAACATATTGTTATCATTACTTACTATTTCTTTTTGGGATGTAAAGAATGTATTGTTCAAAATGGCTTTCCTAAACCACTGCCTTTGACTTTTGCTTGATGGTTGAATGGGAACATGCAAACAAGGTGTGTAGATTACAAAGAGATTGATCAGTCTTGCCAATCCACCAGGCTTAAAGAGAGTGGGTTTAGCACCAGTCCTTCCCAGCCAGGGATCCATGCACTAATAAGACAGGGACCTAAGCACGAGCAGTAACAACAGTGGAGAACAGGAAACCAAAGTGAACAGAGCTGACTTGGGACTGCTGCCTCACAATGCCAGAGCCAGGGGCTAGCACCCCAGCTGGCTGGAGGACTGCGCTGGTCGTTGTTAGATGCTGTTGAACTGTGTATGACTCATAGCAACCCTGTGAACAATAGTCTTGGACTCTGTCCTATCCTGTGCCATCCTCATCATCTCTGACACATTCGAGCCCATTGCTGCAGTCACTAGGTCAACCCATCTGGTTGCAAGTCTTCCTCTTTTTGCTCACCCTCTATTTTTCCAAACATGATGATGCTTTCCAAGGAATAGCCTCTCTTAGCAACATTATCAAAATATGAAAGACAAAGCTTTGCCATCTTTACCTCCAAGAGGCACTCTGCACTTTCTCTAAGACATATCTGTTTGTTCATTTTGTAATCCATAGGATATTCAGCACTCTTCTCCAACACCACAACTCAGAAGTATCAATTCTTCTGTCATCCTTATTCATTGTTGTCAGGAGTAAGAGACCTTTGTAACACTGGCATAAACCATGAAGGTGAAAGTCAAAGGGCCTTTAAAATACATTTGAAAAGCTCTTCTAACTAAAGAAGTGTGTTCTGCTCCCAAACTTCATAATCATGAAAGTGATGTGGCCATTGCAACAGATTATTAGATCCAATGATAGAGCAGAAAGAACCCTGGGAGAGCCAGTTGGTGTTAGAATTACTAAAAACTGGTGTGGGAAACATGGGGTTATGTCTGGCCTCATAGGAATTTTCTTCTGTATTGTACATGTCATCTATGAGGACCATCTCCTCTGTGGAGTTAAGAGAGAGAGGTCAAACTCAATGCCACATTGTCCACACTCTTTTTTTTTTTTTTACAATTTTGATGCTTAAATTGTCATTTGATGGTTTTTTAAGGAGTTGCATGTTGGGATTGGCCCAGTTTTTAAAATCATTGTTAGTAACAACATTAAGGGCAGAAAATTCAGAAGCTAGCTGAAACGGAACAGATTTTTTAAAGATTAGACCACCTACCAGCCAAAAGTGAATGAGTTAAATCTAATAAAAAATGAAATACACAAAATATTTCCTATAAGGGAGCTCTGGTGGCCTACTGGCAAGAAGCTACACTGCAATCCCAAAGTTACGCAGTTCAAATCCACCAGATGCTCTGCTGGAGATGGAGGGACAATCTCCTCCTGTACCAGTCAGATCCAATTTGACAGTACACACACACAAAATAAAATTTTTAAAAATTATTTAAAGAATGCCTCTTATAGGACAAAAACCACAAAGGTAATTTTTTTTAATCCATTTTGAAGTTGCCTGCAGTGTGATCAGTGGGATTTTTTTTGGATTTTTGTGAAATTATATTGTCAAGTGACATGTATGCATTTTCTAGACATGGAGAACATACTGAGGATGGGATATCGGTATAATATTTGCAACTATCATGCCATTTTATAAAGTGTGGACATTTTTCTTTTCTGGGGATTGAACTCACAAACTGCATTTCTGAATGTTATTTTATTTTGGGGAATGCTGCAGAGTGGATGAGACAGCTTATATTCATCTAAAAAACAAACAAACAAACAAAACCACCCAAACAAACTCTTATGACCCTGAATCCTCTCCACTCACTCTTGTCTTTTCCTTTGTGACCAGCTGGACTAGATTACATTGGCGTCAATCGAAATCTGGACTTTGATCCTGGAGTACACAGACAAATATTCCGAGTGACAATCCTTGGTGATCTAAAGCAGCCCTTTCTGGAGAGTTCCAAGAGGTTTGAACTACTTCTCCAGATGCCTATGGGTGCGGGGCTTGGAGAACCAAACAAAAGCACCATTTTCATCAATAACGCCATCCCCGACTGTAAGCAAAATGCTTGTGTGTAGTTTAATTGAAAACTTTAAAGGAGAATAACAATCAAAGCAAATTCCACTGTATCTAGATCTTAGCAATCTTGGATATTCATGATTATTGTTATGTGGAATTAGATAACCACGTATGTGCAAATAAATTGTAATTTGTGTGAATGCATAAGCAATTATGTATGTGGGCTTGAGTCTACAAAGGGCTATGTTACCCTCTTGCTATCTAATCTCTGTAGCCTTGTTTCATCAATTTAATCTTAATTAACAATTATATCAATATCGATCTCTTTACTGATTGTTAGTGGACAATAAAGCCTTTTTGAAACAAGGCTGCTCTGTGAAAAATAGTCATCTTTTCATTTTCCAAACCACTGTGATGGGAGTGTAACCGATGAGTACGGTAACAGAAAACTAACCTTTTATGATTTCCTACAATGGAAATCTGGTGGCTCAGTGTCAAAGAGTTGCCCTGCTAAACCAAAGGCATACAGTTCAAATCCACTAGCTATTCCATAGGAGAAAGATATAGACAATCTCCTCCTGAGATTTACTGTCTCTGAAAACCTGCTGGAGGGTCAGCTATAAGTCAGTTCAAACTCAATAGTAAACAACAACAATCTCAGATATATAATATGCTATAGTGATATAAAACTTAATGGTTTCTTATAAAATGAAAATTCCTTTAGGCTTCTCTTAAAATCCTTTATGTTTCTCTTTCCTGTTTAGTTCAGTAATATACAACTTTGAGTTAACTTTCCTTTGGAACTGAGACGTGTTTGGAATCACAGAAGCCGAGAAAGCTTAAGATACAAGCTGTCAGATCATGGGTTGCACAATGGAAGATATTTTCTGAAGGGACTTGGCAGATGTGAAGGGATATCCTGGTGGAGGGTGGAGCTGGGAAGTAAGTGGGTCAAGGCACTGGACTAGGGGTGGGGTCAACACTGTAACTAATGCTTAAC